TGTTGCCTTAATTGAAGGTGCACCATCAACTGCTGCTTTAAATTAAGTGTTTAGAAAATTTAGTGAGTGAAAAAAAATGATACCTTATAATTGAAGATGAAAGGTAAGTGCATGTTCCTGCAAAGTGCCGAACATTTATTATAGCGCCTTCTCCCCAGCTGTAATCACCAGTGGAGAGTGAGCCCAACTACATCCTCCTGGAGAAACCCTTGATGAGCTTTCACCCCTTTGTGGCTTTGAGAGGACATGTCACCCACCTTTTGATCCTATCTCCAAGTTTTGGGTAACTTTTTAAATAGTCCCCCCTGCTGTGAATACAAGTAATAGCTGAAGATTATTTTTGATGATAAGCAAAGGCTGGCCTCCTTCTCTTTGTTCTGATTGTTAATACAACCAAGAGTGTTGTATTAATTTGTCAAGTGCAACTCTCAAAATAGCCACGGATTAGAGTAATTATTCTGCTATTTAATTTGATTTTAAAATTACTTGAAAGACCCTTCATCTCAGTGTAAGATGTTTGAGGAGCACTCCATTTTTCTGATGGAAAAGAAAATCAGCAGTTAGCAGTAGCTTTGTCCTGCCTCTGTGAGTGTGTGTGTGTCTGTGTGTGTGTGTACAGTGGACTCACAAAGGGCACCCTAACACCTTCACTTATCATGCTCAGTTACTTATTTAGAGCCCCCATGTTTCCAAAATGGTTGCAGACTCACTCCCTAAGTTCTTTTTTCTCTCCAGGAAAGAAGTTCTGTAGATACTTGCCTCTGGGTGTCCCAAGGGTACCTCAAGTTCAAGCACATACAAAGAGATAAGCTGTTATCCTTGCCAACAAACTAAGCTTTCTCTCTGTGGGCCATCATCATTCTCCACTTGTCACCAAAGCCAGATACCCAAAGTCGTGCGTGGTCTCTGGTAGAGTATAATTTTCAAAATGAGAAAATTCATGATTATTGTGTAAATATAAAAGGAACACTTGTCAAATATGCTATTCAACTCACTCATTAATGGGAGAAATAGTAAGATGTTAAGACTAGTGTGATGACCAAATGAGAAGCGAGATAATGAAGAAATATTAGGATGATTGATGGACTGAATTAAAAACTAGCTAATACCTAGAGGGCAATCGAACATAATCTTTGGGGTCTTCTTCCCGCTGGACAGAAAATATTGGCATCTCTACCAGACAAAAATCTATAAGTTAACAGGTAACTTCTCTACATCTAGGAACTCCAGCCACTAGTAAACAACTAGTTGAACAGAATACATCCTGTGATGACCCTTGGGCAGGTTTTTGCCCTTGTGTGTCATGGATGAGCTGTGCAGCCTTCTTCTATACCTTGTTCCCAAGTTTGGGAATTTTTCTCAGCATCTCCTGACTCTTCCCTGGCCCCTAGGCTCTCAATTTCTGTCAGTTTTCCCCATATGGCATCCCTGCGAACATCCCCTCCATTCATAATGCTATAGCCCTCGTTTGTATCTTCATCCTCTCACCTTGGCTTTCTTCCAAAACCATCTCCCAAATTCTATGCCGTTGTCAGGGGAAATTGAAATCTGATCAATGTCATCATGTTTTAGCCACTTTGTTTGTCTTTCTCTATCTGGCCTGCTTGACTTAGTCTGATCATCTCCAGGTCCATCCATGTTGCTGCAAGTCTGAGCCAAGCATTTCTCATTTAGCAAAACGAACCTTCAAGTGTATACGGCACAAACTATGATCAGGAATATGTTCTCATAGGCCTTTCCCAAGGAATTACTGGAGAACGGTTGTCAAACACCAAAGTGACTAGAGACAGACAAACATAGGGGTAAACAGCGAGCATAAAATATATAGTTAGTTGAAGAACTAAGAGTAAATGTGAGTTAAAGAGGAGAAATATGGAGGGGTTATTGGGATCATGTGTGTTAAATTTTTCTCTTCGCTGTTTTATGAATCACAGTTGGTGGTACTGCAAACATTGTTTCTTGGAGAGTGTTGTGTGTTGTTATGAGGTATGTTAGTTCCGTGAGTACGTATGAGACAGCCCAATTCCATCATTTCCTTGAGAACCCAAATTCTGCTGCGGCAGAAATACAGTACAGCTGCAGTATAGAAAAGGTGAAGGAAAAACCCTACAGTCCTGCATTTGATTTGGAAATATCAATATGCACTCATGAAGTGTTTTATCTTTAAATATGTAATTGCTAGCTCTTTCCAAAGTAAAAGTCCAGAAACCATGAAGAACCTCAAAAAGCACACCTCATTCTCAGATCATAGTCTTAAAAAACAGTTTCCTGTTCAAATAAATCAGAGCATCTTGGAGAAATGCCTGCTTCAGGTCTGGGGCAGGAAATATACAAGACAAGCCTCAAATATCTTCTCATACTAGAAAGTGAAAAAGCTGTCAAAGACTTTAGGGTGAGGGCAAAAGGACTTAAGAGCCAACCTAGGGGCCCCCAAGGCCAAAGAGGGGACAATCTGAGTTTCAATGAAGATAAGAATTACAATGAATTAAAGCCCATCAAATATGCTTCAATCCAGGAGTTCACATAATATTAAGAAACCAAATTACCTTCTGAGAATGACAGGAAACCAAAACATTATTTGTAAAGTAAGTAAATAAAAATAGACACTTATCCTCACTTTCGTGTATGAACTTTACCAATGGGTTCCTTAAGAGCAGAGGAGGGGAGATTTTCTTATAAAATCATTTCAGCTTACAAATTAAAATGAAAGATAAAATCAGAATATCATCATCTGGCAACCTCTAATAAATGAACGGATCTTGGGATTTGTGTATCAATGGCTGCTAGCATGAAAGAAAAAATAGAAGTAAAATTGGATTATGATCAAACTTCTGGCAGTGACACTTCATCCCAGAAGAAAATGGGGGAAATTCTTGTGAGCCAAGGATTTCCTGTTCAGTGAAACTGACCCTGAGGTATAAACAGCACAGATAACCTATCATCAGGAAAACCAGAAATTGTGTGTCTTCTGATGAAAGAACACAACATCACCCCA